CCCCAAAATAATAATTAATAATAATAACAATAAAACCTTGCATGCTTTGAGGATAAAAGTTATTTTATAAATGTAGAAAGGCAGAACTTTAATGAATAATAATGACGCTTGTTGAACTGAGTAAAAAGGAACCAACTGATAATTCAAAAGTCTTTTTGACAATCAAAAACAATAATAATTTTAAATTATAATATAATTAAAAAAATAATTAACAAAAAGACACGGTTGGCCAGTTAGGCTGTGACTGGACAGCAGGCGGGAAAGTGATGTGACGGAAGTGAAAGGAGAGCAGAAGTAGATGGCGGGAGAGATGATGTAGAGGTGAAATAAGATAACGGGAGGAGGGATTTCAAGTGATCATAAAATCCAGAATGGCCGTCGTTTGGTGAGTGGAACCAGATTCAGCAACAACACCAATAAATAAGCATGTTGGGAGATTATGAGTGCTATCTGAGCCGGTTCTAGACAGGCATACATGAGGGGGCAGACAGAAATGTAAAGGGGGCAGATGATGGCAACTGAGGCGGGAAAGGGGTGGTGGTGGGGTGCTCTGGATTACAGTTTTTGTCATGTAAATGGATTGCACTTTGTCAGGATCTACCCTAAGATCTGACCAACTTGGGTTGTCCAACTGAAGGCTAAGCTTATGGTGGTGAGCAAACCCTGACTGAGGGATTTCTGGAAAAATTTAAACACACAGCTCTGGTATCACTTGTGACATAAATTAAGAGAGAAAACTAAATAGCAGTGATGTTTGTAGGGTTACTGAAGTTGGGCTAGCTGGTATATAATGATGTGCTACGTGGTGGCTAGCTGCACAGCTATGCTTAGCATAATATAGCAGGAAGTTTTCTTCCATCATTCCTGTTCTTGCTGGCTTGCACTGGCTTCCAATTAAATACTGTATTCAATTTAAAACATTACTTTTCACCTACAAAACCATTAAGAATTTGGCGCCAAGCTACCTCAATGAGCTTGTCAGGTTACACACTCCTGTCAGAGCACTTAGATCTGCTACCCAAATTCTTCTGGAGCAACCTCGTTCTCGGCTGAAGTCTCGCGGTGACCGCGCGTTTGCTGTAGCTGCCCCGGTCTTATGGAACAACCTTCCTGTTGCTTAAATAAAACAAGATACAAAGGATTAAAACATGTTAAGCACACAACAGCCTTAATAAATGCAGAGTAGCTTATATCAAATATGACATTAACACAATGCCAATATTAACAAAACTAATAAGGTTAGGCCAAGTGTTACGACCCGGCTTGGGGCCATGGAAGGTAACATAAACGAGCCCATCACAAGGGAGGTCAATATAAGAAAAGGGTTTATTACAAACACAGAACTGAAAACTGTTAGTGTAGCTTACAGCGAATCACTAATTAAACAACACAAAAGAACTCTCACACATTCAAATACAAATGAAAACTAGCCACTCAGGCAGAAACACATCTCAAGGCTACTCAGGCAGAACTCCCACGCTTAACCTGAGTTAGGCAAGCGGGGATCAAGGACAGAGGCAAGAGGGACAACTTGCCTGCTCAGTCCAAAAACATAGTCTTCCCCTGAGTGAAGGATCCTCAGGCTTTTGTTGCCACAATGAACACAGTTAGTCGCTTCATTGGTCCCTGGAGCACCACAAATCCCCAGGCAGTCAATGGTCTTGAGGACTGGCACATTAAAATCTACATGCAGGTGGGCAGGCACGGGTCCCCAGCCAGCCAATCGTCTGTGAGTCCTGGCACGCTTGGATTTCTTTACAGGATGGCCGGCCACTTCCTCCGAAACCAGGGGCCTTAACACCAAGTTTTTAAAAAAAAAAAAAAAAAAAA